CCCCAAAACCCCAAAACCCCAAAACCCCTTAAGTCTAAGATATATGGATATATCTACTGAAATTATTATTGATTTTATACATATAAATTAATTTACAAATGAACGAGGATTCAGTTCTAGAAAACTAAAACTTCTATCAAAACTATGGGTAAAATTATCAGAGCAACTATGGAATAAGCTCGTAGTATTCACATTAAGTTGGACAAGATACTTTTAACATGAATGATGTCGATAACTCTGTGAACTTTATCTACACTGATGAAGAAAAATATAGCTGGATCAAGCTTCAAATCAACAACAGAATCAAAAGAGTGAACTTGAAACAAACTGATTTTTATAATCTCATTTAAACAATCAGAAGACACTTTAAAGACGTTGATAAACATATCTTTGATTTGACTCATACTTCTGCTTTGATTTAAAGTCTAGATGAGGAGTCAAAGTAGCTCTACATTATGAATCTGATGAAGTCTATTAACCTAAATTACCAGGATGATGAGGGAGATGAGATTGAGATCGACAACGATGAAAGTTTACTTCAAGCTCTCAGATTTGCCAAGACCTGTGGATCTGGGAAAGTTCTTAAGATTAAAATAAATTTGTTAGAGTTATAACACTCTAGAAAGTATTCATAAGAAATCTTATAAAAAGATCAGATCAGTAATAATGTATAAGAAGTCTATAATAGAAGTGATAATATTGAGGAAAATAAGTAAATAGCTGAAAAACATCAGAATTTGGAGGATAGAGAGGAAGAAGTTAAAAACGGTTCTAACTTTTTCTACCAATATGAGGAACAGATGAGATAATCTCAATTGCTTTAGAAGAGAGAACTCTCCAAAGTGGAAATTTATGATCCAAGTATCTATGTGGATAAATAAGAGGAGACTTATCTAGGTAAACATGAAGAATCTTAGGAAAATTAGATATATGTCAACCCATATCTTGGTTAATACCATTAGTAACCCTATGATAACTACAATTATTCTCCATATAAGCCTTAAGATTATCAAAATGATCAAAACTAATCAACTGGAGCTTTAAGATAAACAGGACTAGCCTCAGCTTTCATGATGCCGATCTTTAATCCCTAAAATACTACCTTAAATAGCTAAAACGATTAACTTAATAATCATTTGGTTGAAGATAAGATGATCATTGGGAGTGAAGAGCTATCTCTGAATGACGGTAATCCTGAATAATCAGACGATGTAAATAATATTATCAGAGCCTTGAATAATAGAAGCAGTGTTAATACTGATGAGTTGGCTTAATAATAACAAATTTTAGAGTAAATTGAAGCCTATAAAAAGCTTAAAGAGTAGCAAAAATAGGATGAGGAATATGCTAGGCAAATATCATTCCAAGAAACTATAAGAGCTCAGTAAACCTAAACTTAACTATAACAACAGCAACCACCCTAGAATTTTTAATAGCCATTTATGTTTGATCAAAGGTAATAAAGCTATGGAACTTAAGTTTCATAGAACCCATATAATAGTGATATGATGATGTAGCCGTAGTAAAGTCCTATAATGTATAGACCTTCAAATTAAATGATAAAACCAATCAAAATAGTTGCATCTGCTAAACTGATAAGAGACGAAAAAAATAAGAGACATGACCCTTCGGTATAAAAAGTTACAAAACTCTGGAGTGCAATTACCACAAGCTCCGCAAAAGCATCTGCTCAAGATAGAATTCTAATGTCCGTCCCAATAAATGGTAGCATGTCAAGCGCTAGGAAAATTGATTAGAAAAATGATTTATCTATTCTTTAAGTTAAATGGGACATCTGCAACAAATCTAAAATGCATTGGGATAGCTGTAATTTGATACTTAAGGATTCATAATGCCAAACAGGATTGAAACTAGCTATAGATCCAATGTATATCAAGGAAGGAACTAAGCCAAGCAGGATTGAAACCTTAGATCTCATACTTAAATATCCTGTTTCTTTGCTCAGCCATAAAATGACATTGATCTTCACAATTTAAGATTAGAGCAATAAATAGGTTGGAGAAAACCTTATAGCTGTAATAGATTAAGCAAATCTTCCGTTAGTTGTTGGATCTAATTAACTCCAGCAGATTCCTATACCTAGAAACCAAACTGATGTCAATTAATTACCAAGAAGAGTCTCTCAGCCTTAATAAAACCAAGGGAGAGTAATTCAAGTTAATGAGGATAAACTCCAATAAGATGCATAAAAGCTGATGTTCACTACTAATATGGATATAGAATTATGCTATGACATTCTGAAATAGAATAATGGCAACTATGATGTTACTCTGAAATAACTTCTGCAGTTTAAAGAATGATTAACATTGATTTCACTTAAAATCCAATCCTTTATTTCATAATAAATTAAATAGTTTTTCGTAAGGGGTTTTGGGGTTTTGGGG